AACAGTTTCAGTTGTGCCTACAATTTCAAATGTAAATATAAATAGAATTAAAAATACAAATAACTTAGTATTATGGTGAAAACAGTTTTGACTTTGTAGATCCCTTAACGGGGTCTAGGAACCTGAGGAGATCCACCCAGGGAGCAATGAAGCCACTGGGGGAAATGTCACATACCTTGGGAAGTCTCACAGAACACATTAGGAGTGATTTTAACTCCCTAGGGAAGGTTAGGGGAGTGTGCAGTTTATCTAAAATGTTTAAAACAAAACCAAATTACTGTGGGTTGTATCTGCCATAAAGAAACACAGTGTTTAAACATCAATGTTTAAAAACATTCCCTCTCACTCCTTCACCCTTGCACCTCAACTCTCCCTTTTGGCCCAGTAACTTTCAGGCCCCATGTCCTAAAGCTTCTCCTTTGGATTTTCCATTCTTCTCTTTTCCTCCAAAAGTTCCAGTCTCCCACCAGCTGTTTTTGTATTGGTCAGCTTCTCTGGGTGCTTTAGAAGAAAAGTGAAAACAGGTTCTGAGACCCAGATGGGATGGAGTCTGAGGGATGAGTCTGGGGTAGAAGGTCGTAGGAAGGAGGCTTCCGACCTCCAGAATCCCAGGATTTGAGCTGGATCAGCAGGGACCACGGGAAAATTATCTTCTTGGGAACAGAGGCAGCAGGCCAGGATCCAAAGATCTTCCCCCTTCTAGCCACTATTCATGCAGGACCCCAAGGCTTGCATCCTCGCCTTGCTGCATTCCACGCTTAAGTAGCATAAGAGCTGTGGAACTCTGTGGCTTATGCCTAGGGGCAAAGGTCGTCTCTTCTTTCAAGAAAGCAGACAAGGGCCAGGGACTTAGCTCAGTGGTGCCGACGCCTCGGAAGCGCAATGTCCTGAGTTTGAGACTCAGTATCAAAAGAGAAAAGGAAAAAAAAAAAAAAAAAAAAAAAAAGGAGACAACGCAAGGCTGGAAATAAGGGGACCAGGAACCATCAGGCACCGGCCTTTACCCACTATAGACGCCACGGGGTGAGTTGGCAGGATGCACCCAAAGCCAATAAAGCCGCAGCAGGCAGAAGCGCTAGGCTGAGACAGACCTGTCACCCACGCGGCAGAGAACAGCTACATTGCACCAGGAAAATCCAAAGGGTTGCGTCAAACCCCTTTCTGACAGTTTGTTTCTTTAACTCACTAACGACCCCTGGAGGTTGTTCCACATTTGCAGAAACCAAGCCGCCAGGATCGCTCCACCTCCCGCTTTTCAAAACACTGCAGTTCCGGGTCGGAATTCTCTCGATGCTTTCTGGGAAATAGAGTTCTAGCCCAGAGGACTCTGGGAGTCGTAGTTCCGACTGATCTCTATGCGCACGCGCGTTTCGGTGTTCATGGCGCTGCTTCTATTAAATTAATTAATTAATTAATTAATTTTGTACCGGGGGATCGAACTCGGGTCTTTGCGCTTGAGAGGTAGGCGGCGGCAGCACTGAGCTAAATTCACCGCCCCGTGTCGCTGCTTCTATTGCTTGGTGGTACGGTAATAAGGCGTGAGCCCTTGAACATGGCCTGCTTCAGTTTTGCAACCTCTTGCAGCCTGACGGTTACGGAAGCACATGATAATCTCCATGGTAGTGGCGTGGGGACAGCGCATAAGTCCCAGACGATTAGGCGTTGGAATCGAATCCTAGGGGTGAAGGATAGGGCCAGGCTGAGGGGATGACGCGCCCACAACCGGTAGATCTCAGGTGAGCAGGGCTCAGGTTTCAATGAGCAGGGCTATGACCTTGAAAGACCCCAGATAGAGTCACACAGAACACGTGTGATACTCCAGATGTTGAAAGCCGTGGTTCATTTCAGGAGAGGCGCTCTGTGACCCCAACTTCACCACCACCGTAGCTGCTGTTCGGAGGGGCCGCGGAGTGGTGGCAGTGGGGACGGAACAAGTAGACTAGTCCAGGGAGAAGTGAGAGCCTACATAGATAGTAGCAATGTGGAGTGAGTGGCGATGTAAGGGGTCTGGAAGAGGGAGGAGTTGAGAATTTTCAAATTTCTGGTGTGGACAGTAGAATGTCTGCAGATATCCTTACCTAGTGAAATTCTCATTCGCAATTCTTTCAACTCCATATGGGAGAGCATATGCGTGCAAATCCATTCACAGAACATTCAGATGGAGACACTAATCCACAGGCCATTCATGCACATACCTACACACTCACAGTTGTACCTATACTTGTGCTATGGTTTGAATGTGTCCACCAAAGTCCATGTATGGGAAACTTTGTGCAGGGAAGAGGCACCTAGTAAGTGATTAGGTCGAGGGGTCTAGCCCCATGAATGGATTAATAGGGTTACTCAGGAAAGGGTTAGTTATCTCCACAGTGCATTTGTAACTTAAGGTTAGTTTGGCCCTTTCTTGCTGTCTTGAGTGATGAATTCTCCTATGCTATGGTGTAACGAGGTCATCACCAGATTTGGCCTTTCAGTCTTTGACTTTTTGCCCACAGAACTGTGAACAAATAAACTTCTTTTCTTTATAAATCGCCGGTCTCTGGTATTCTGACATAGTAGCGGGAAACAGACTAAGATACCTTGTGAACATATTGGGATGCAGATATAAACAGCCACACAGCTATTTATGATCAAGTATACTCCTGCCACAAACAAAGGCCCTGATAAATATGTCCATCTCAGTTTAAAGATTCTCTGCCTTCTTGGCCTAAGTGTGATGCCCATGATGAATGACCCAGGTTGGTTTCTTTGGACCCCTCTCTGGAAACTTCACACCCACCTGGCTTTTGCTCTTTCTTTTGGGCATTCTTGTTATACTGCACTGATGGGAAAGGGAGAGTAAAACCATGAAATAATAACTGTACATGTTCAAGGCAGACATTTTTCCCCTGGTAATTTTGGAACCCGAGGTGGGTGGAATCTGTGGATGTTGGAAAGCTGACTGTGTCTAGCTTCCAAAGCAAAATGGTAAGCCTCTCAGAGGCAGTGACCGAAGGAAGAACTTTTGGTGAGTGGATATATTATCCCTTTCCTACAAATGTGTCCAGGCAAGCAGAGATCTTGTCTCCAGGATATGGTCAGTGGATATGGCTTCCCTGGAAAGGAGGCTTATCCTTGGGCCCACAACTCTTCACCACTGCAGTCCCCAGAAAGGGCTGGCAGCTGGGCACTGGCAGCAATTGAGGAAAGAGGTTGTGAAGTAGGGAAGTTTGGGTGATGCAGCACCTACCACACTGTCAGCTCCGTAAGGGGCTTTGATAGAGGTGTTCACCACTAGTCCCTACAGCATCCACACTCCCTCTCTTCCTTAGTGAGTGGAGCCTGGCTTTGTTTTGTTTGGAATGACAGTGGGTCTAATAAAATACTCCTCTAGACTCCTTTACAATGGAGGTGGGCCAAGGGACCAATCCCTGCTAGTCCATCAGATGTCAGGAGGAATCTGGATTCCTGATGGCATTGTGCAACCAGTGGAGAAAACAAAGGCTTTATTTGCATAAGCTACTCCAATCAGGTCTCTGTTGCATAGAGCCAAATATAGACCTAAATGGTAGAGAGGTGTTATCATTTGTCCTGCTTAAGAACTTGGTTCTTCCAGTTAAGTGGACACAGCTTGAGTATCGGCTCTGCTGCATACCTGCCAGCTGTGCCACACCTTGGACAAGTAAGCTACTGTGTCAGGCTTTCTCTTTCTACAAAGAATGTCTAACGATCACCTCACCATGTAACACTAGGTTCACACTTGTTACAGGTTGCTTGGGACTTTCTCACTTGTTAGCACTGAAAGTCTTGCATCCTGCAGAAACTTCTCAGTGCCAGGCAAATTAAGATAGTTTTGGCTGACCTATCCAAACATTCTCAAATTGCCTTACTTCCTCTGCAGATGCAAGACTGGGCCCTGAGGACTGAAATTTTGTTTGATGCTGTCCTCTAGTGGTTGAGCAAAATATAGCATCACTGCAAAGGAAAGTTTTACATTGCTCTGTGTGTGTGTGTGTGTGTGTGTGTGTGTGTGTGTGTGTGTAAAGGGGGCAGTCTTGGGGTCTGATACAATCTCCAGGCAGGTAATTTCAGGACAGTATTAAATTAAATGATACCATCTTGCTTAGTATGCATATGTGGGAAAAATCCCTACATATCTGGTTTTAGTTGCATGTTGTAAGAGAAACTGAGTCTTGAGTTTTGCTTTTTCCTCTCCTAAAGAACTTCATTCCTGAAGTTGTTTTTTAGTATTATCTTCCAGCTCTGTGTGCATTAATTTTAATCATAAATACAAGAAAGCTGAATAGATACATGTACACACCCTGATCTGTCATACATTAAGCCATTAACCATTGTCCAGAAACTGAGGGCTCTCCACTAATCTCAGCTCAGGGCCCAGTGTTGTTCACTACAGAATAGAGTGGCTCAGAATTCAATATTGAGGAACATATTTTCTCTTTCTTTTGGTACCAAGGATCGAACTCGGGTCCTTGCACTTGCGAGGCAGGCAGCAGAACCACTGAGCTAAATCCCCGGCCCATGAGGAACATATTTTAATGTTGTGCACACCTGACACCTTAGGAGGCAAAACCTTTATACCTTTTGGTGTTAGCCAAGTGTTTAATTTTACCAACAGACATTGTGAATTCATTTATTTTAAAAGTCTTCAGATTTGCTTTTATTTTTAAATCTTCAAGCTGTGCTTAGAAGTTCCAATTTGGATATACTGTGAGTGGGAGCAGATGACCCGAACAGCCTTTAAATATATGAGGGAGAATACTGTTTTCAGCACTAAGTAAAGCGGTTCAAGTAAAAAGTTTTTTTGTGTGTGTACATCCAGAAATGTACTTCAGTTTCTTTTTTTTTTTGTGGAACTGGGGATCGAACTCTGGCCCTTGTGCTTGCAAGGCAGGCAGCTGAACCACGGAGCCAAGTTCCCAGCCCTAGTTAAAATAAATGTTTAAAATGCTATTCCTCATGTGAAAAGAACGGGGATGACTCATGGGCGCACACCATTCCTTGTACAGGATAAGTATTCTTCAAAAATTTATTTATAGAAACAGACACATTCCAACACAACACCGGACAAATAAAATGAAGAGAAGGGATGGGATGCCAATGCCACTGGAGAATCGCACTTGCATGTTTTACATTTCTACGAAGAGAACTAGCACCATTCATTCAGAAATCACAGACTTAATTCAATTGCTTCTAATATATAAAATACCTTAGAAATATTATTTAACTATCTAGTAACAAAGTTCTTCTAAAAACGTATTTAAAAATCAATTGCAATTTGCCATTTGAAAGAGATGAAAATGGTTTAAAAATTGATCCAATTTGATGGCTTGTCAAAAAGAATGAGCCATCACTAGTCGTTTTGGAAAAAAGTACCTGAATGCCGCTTCTAGCCTCCTTCCAACCACCAAACAGGTACAGGAAATTGAACATACTATAGGAATAAAAGCACATCTAAAACTCATCTTAGAAAATATTTTCCTAAACTATAAAAATACTAAATGGAATACAAAAGTTTCAGCATGTACAGCAAATAGACTACAGCAGACAGATATTTGAAAATACTTAAAACTATCTTGTACCACAATCATTGTGAACATCAAGTATTATTCTAATCATATTTCTATGATTCGTTCGCATTCAAATGTTTATTCCCCATCAAGTGTTGTTGTAGTGTCAGATGCAGACCCTGCTCTGTGTTGCTAGCAGAAATTACTGGAGGGGCCGCTGAATAATTCTTGGTATTCAACTGGCTCTCATCCGAGTGTTGGAAGTGCGAGTACAACAGAGCCTGTTTTGTAAAATGAGGGGTCGACAAACTGCAGCCTATGAGCTTCGTATGCCCGTGAACACAGCCACACTTACTCCTCTGTGTGTGGTTTGTGGCCACTTTCATGCTACTAGAGCAGAGCTGAGTACCTGCGATACAAACTATGTGCAGCCTTGTGGTCCATACCATCTGAAATATTTACTTTGTAGCCCTTTAGAGAAGAAAATTACTCTCTGTTTTAGATAAATCACCACAGGAAAATTTTCACTGGAACAAGGACAAGGTAGAAATGTTCAAGATCAAGAAAATTCTGGCTGAGGTTCTGCTGGTTCCACGACAGGCCAAAAGAATATGAACTTGGGTTGGCAACTTTCTATACTGAATAATATTCTGGCATTGTAAGCCAAGTCTGGCTGTGATACAGTACCTTCTTTTCTCTATAAGCTGGCCATTTTGTATCAAGTGACTCTCGTACCAGATTACAGCTATGTGCTTACTGTTCATCCTGAACCACCTACATGGCTCCCAAACACAAGTTTTAGCTTTTAAAAAATCAATACTCTTACACTCTTAGCAGCACACAGAATTGGGAGTGGACTCTTCCCTGCCTTCTGTATCAGTATAGGTTCTATAGTGCCGTACCATGTACCTTTTAGATTCCTTCCCTGTGGCACGCATCATAGTAACTAGAACTAGTGCCGTCCAGGGCCACAAACATGTCCCTTTTGACAAAGCGGACGAGGTTCTCAAGAGGACACATGGGCTTGGGAGAACGCCTGTGGTGGTCCTGGCAGAAAGACGTGTGGAACGTGACGTCAACTCCATTGTAAAGAACCCGAACCGAATGTTCACTGGGCTTTTCTCTGTCCTGCCAGAGCTCAAATATCAGCCTGGCTGCAAACCTTGGGAACCTGGCTTCTGAAAGGCCCAAAGCACTGAGAACGGGTGACAGAGTGACATCATGAGCGGAGTAGAGGGTGAAGATCTCATCTTCCCTGCCCTTGGCAGCACGCTGCATCCGGCTAACAGTTTGATTCAGGATAGGGTGGGCACCCAGCAGTGAGTACCCAAGGTACAGTTTCTTCTCGCGCCTCTCTTTTTCATCTTCTATCTGATGCATCTTGATCACCTTGAAGTGCCCCATGTCAATACAGCCGCTTCTGGTGCAGGGGAAGCTGATGTTGTGGCAGAAATAGCAGAGCAAGGAGTCTATGGGGTTGGCAGCCCGCAGCTGCTTGTTGGGGATGTCCACGATCCTGGCCATCTCCTCATAGGTCCTCTCCAGCTGGCTGTTCTGCAGCCGCAGGAGGTACTGACGACGCTGCTCCTTCTCCAGATATTGGTTTCTCAGTGGGCAGTAACAGTTTCCAGAGCAGAAAAGGGCGCTTGGCTGGTGCCTGAAATAAATCTTCTTCCAGTCAAAATCTGGGAGAAAGCCATAGAGCAAGGCCAGCCCACTCTGTAGGGTGCGGCTCTTCCCAGTGGTCTCTAGGTAAAGCTGGTCTGCAAACCAGTCATTTGGCAGGAGCTTGTGTTTCTTTATATAGATGTCCCTCAGCAGCTGGCCATTCTGCAAATGCTGCACGACTCCTGAAACACAGGGTGACACAAGCCTCTCCTGACTACTAGCTTGGCACAAGGGACAGCAAGGGGAAGGCGAGGCACTGCCCAACTCTGGAATGTTTCAGACCAGTGTAAGATAATATAATGAAGCTCATTTCCCCACGTGGAAATTACAAGAATGAGTTCGTCTCAACTTCTTGGGGTGTCTGTAAAGGGGTGAGCTGACTGGGGAATGGCCTTCGTGGCGGGCCTAAGGACCATCTGCCTCCCTCCCTCTCCTGCACAGCTTGCCCCTTCTCTGGGGAAAGTGTCATGACCGGTGGGCCACAGAGTGTAGGAAACACCCAGCAGGGTGTCTAGGCTGTGACAGGCATGGGCCTGAGGTGAGCATTCGTCACTGTGCAGGGACACGATGATCCTCAGTGCCAGGATGGCTCTGTGACATTCATCAGGTGGAGACTACCGTCAGTTACCTGCTCACAGCCTGGTCCTCTCCCCTGCACTGCACACTGAGGGTCTCCACTGGCCTTCTGGGGGAAAGATTCTGCCTAGTCCCGGAAGGGCCTTCTCGGATTCATCCACAAGCTTCCAATCCCCAGATAGGATATATTTTTACAAAACCAAATTACAGAAGAGTATGCTTATTGTGCTCCTCTCAAATAAAAAAAGAGCGGAAAACGAGAATATGTGTTTGCAGCTGCCCACATTGTTCATGACATTTTGGAAGGAGGTAGGAAAAGCTAATGTCAATGGTTTCCTAGAGATGATGGGGCCTGGAAAGGAGGGTGGGTGGAAGCAAGAATTGTAAGCCTACCGTTTACTATCATTTCGTCTCTACACTACCATGGTACAACAATAAATTGACTTTAAAGAAAAGAAAAACCCTTATTATCAAGCAGGAGAAGGAAACATGGAAGTCGACAGCAAGCTTACACTTCAGCCTGAAGGGCATCGGGGAGGCTATCTCAGTAACGAGCATGAATTTGCTGAGGGTGTGAACCACACAGGCCCGATGTCCACTAATGCAATTTGTTCAGATGTCTAAATAGCGTGGGCAATTCCACACCAGGATGAGGCATATGAGGCTGAAAATTACGAGACAGCGGGAAAGAACTAGCGCAGAGATTCCCTTAACTACATCCATGTCTCAGCCACAGAGGATGCCTGAGTCTCACAGTGAATGAAGAGCCCAAGAGCAGAATTCCCTCGGGGACCTGGCTGGGACCAGTCTTAGCATCCGGGAAATGATCTGCAAAAGGAGGCAAATCATAAGTGACAAAAATGAAGAAACTGGGTCTGACCCCAATTCACTTCTGGGCCTATCTTAGATTATGCAAAATATATTAAAGGTGGGATGCTTATTGTATGCAAGGCATTTTTCATTTAATTCCTACAAAAAACCTACAGAGGAAAGTGTAGTACTGTTAGCAGCCTTTTTCCTTATACAACGGGTGGAGAAACTAAGACCTTGAGTCCTCACAGTTAAGAAGTGGCAGAGCTAAAACTCAAGGCCCGTCTGGCCCCAATTTTGTGTTTTTAGTCCCTGCTTGGTGTTTTCCCCTCCATTTTCGTGCAGAAACACAAAGTTTTAGTCAGTTAGGTCCTTTTATCCTCTTCAAACACACTCCACGTTCTCATAACCCAGTTCATGCTGTTCTCCCTTCCCACGGCCAGCACCTAGCTCCATTCATTCACCTCATTTTGCAGAGCCTTCCTGCATCCTCTCCCAGGTCAAATCAGCAGGTCCTCCCTGATCTCAGGGGCTTCTTGTATGGCAGAGTTAGCTGTGTTCACTGAGAGTCTATCACAGGCCAGCACTATACAAGGCACTCTATAACCACTATCCACTTTCATTCACCTCCAGCCCTGGTGAAAGAGGTGACAGGTCTGTCACCAGGCTGTGCTAATTCTCTGAGGCCCTGCAGCTTTCAGCGGTACCACTGTCTTCACCATAGCATCTGGCCACCTCCTGTGCTCAGTGACTGCTGGGGCCTCCTGAGCCAAGGAGGAAGGCACTGCGGGGCGGCACACTGTGCTAGTTACAAATCATGATCATAACAGCTATGCATTTTTAATAACATTTAAAATAGAAGATAAAAGTGACCATTAAAAAGATCACAGGAATGGGAATAAATGGTACTACGGGGGAAAAAAATGATTTCTAGGGTAATACTAACCTAGAAAATAAAGAAGATGATAGATCATTTGAGAAGAAAAGTCCAAATTAATGGTTTACCTCTAATTGTGTGAACTCTTCCCAACCTCTTCTAAGGGAACAGCCCCTGGATGGAGAGGTGGGGTCCCTCTGCCCTGTTTGCTACCCCTCATCCTGACTCCTCACCACAGCCGATGAAGGACCAGTGTGAAATAGGAAGAAAAGGGCTAAAGGTGTAGGGAAATGGGAAGGGTTGGGGAAAGGTAACAGGGAAAAGAAAAAAATGAGAAAATGAAAAAATGGAAATAAAGTGTTTGTAAATGGGGAGGGGAGGAGGGGGTGAAGGGAGAGCAGGGACAAGGGGAAAAAATGAGAATCAAGACCTGTCATGGAGAGGTACAAGATTCCAATCATGAATGCAACTGTACTGTATACCTAAAATGTACCAATAAACTCAATGAGGGAAAAAAAAAAAAAAAAGAATCTGAGCTGCTAATTCCTCTCTAGCTGTGGCTACGACTACTGTGTCAGCAGACACAGCAAAAAGCCATAGCAAGAGGGACCGATGAGACAGCCTTGTGCTCCTACTTCCAGTCTCTGGAAGCCTGATCGCATTCTTGCCTTTGGAATCCAAGTCATCCTGAATCTTTCTGAATACATTTCCATTCTCACTTGAATTTCCATGGTAACACGGGGAAGGGCTTTCCTGGCACGCGGTGGTGGACTGGGTCTGGACAGTCCCCACGTGGGTCAAGTGAGCTGGGTCCCACATGACTTTTGAATGTGCCACAAGACATTCTCATGGCAAAAAGCTGCCTGCATACTTTAGTCTAGAACCTAATGGTGTTTTTTTGTGTCTATAAACATAAAATAATTTTTGCATAATTTTAACATCCACTGAATTTCTAGGAATGACTTTAAGTTAAGGAGCATCTGTACTTTGTTCTGAGCAGAACTTGTCAGAAGAACCACAAAATGCTGTGTTGTATTAGAGTCACTAATATGACATCCCTCAGTCATCTGCATTTGTGGCTGTCACAGTCAGGTGCAGATATTTGACTACTTCACTATATTTTCTAGTTTAGCTATTCCTAAGCATCGACGCTGCGACACACAGAATTATATAATAAATGTTTTCTTTTGCTTGTTAGAGGTTATTTGATCTAACTTTTCTTTAAAAATTAAGAAATAAAAAGGTTATATTATATTGAAATTTCACTTCAGGGTAGCTGAGAATCAAATATTTGTGAATGCTCATAAATAAAAGGGGTGTCAGATTGGGTAGGATGAAAATCCCTGTTCTAAACTAACACAGAGTTTGTGTGCATGGTACTAAGTGCAACTCTTCAGCCAAAGCTAATCCTCCATAGGCTTCTGCTTGTCACTCAACATCATTCCCTCAATAATTGTGGAATAATTACGGAAGCCTGGCCAAACCCAGTAGGGCCAACTATAGGACAGAGACCCTCCTTCGATCTAAACCGAGACCTTACAATACTGACAGAAAAAGAAATCAGTGTGGCAACTGGTCTTCCTGGTTCTCTCACCAAGGCTGGGGACCCAGCAAAGGTCCTCTGAAGTTCTGGTCTGAAGAACTAGGAACCTGGAACATCACAGGGAACCACCAGTCCCTTCTCTTCCTGGTAAAGGTGACCCCACAGTTAACTCAGGGCACAGTGGTACAACTAGACTGAAGAGGGGAAGATGGGCTTCTGGGAGAACCTGACTAGGCATACAGATTCCAGGCACAGCAGGAATCGCTCATGTGTTTGTCTCCCTGAGATCTTGTACAGTAAGTCCTAGAATATGTGAGATTAGCTAAGTAAATTACAGTTCATCCTTAGTGGAATAATAAGCAGCCACTGCCATGATGTAGATGAACACTGACAGGGAAAGATGATCCCCATAAAAGTCAGTTACAAAAGTGTGTTTAGTAAGACACTCATGTATGTGTGTGCCCCTAAGTACAGGAAGAAAGACTACTACTCAGGGCCTGTTGTTTTGGGGGGGTGCTTTTTTGTCTTTTGTAATTTCTCTTTGGAAACGTGTTGCTTTTGTAATGAGAAGAAAGGTCATTTTAATTTGAAGAAAGCAGACGTTAAGTGGGTACCCTGGAGCCTCTGAGCTCCTCTCGTTGCCACTTTGGAGCCCCACGGCCCTCTCCCAGAGTACTGGCTCCAGTGTTGGAAAAGAGAAGGGCTCGCGGAGGGTGGGGAGGGGTGGCAGTCGTGCACCTACCTGTCTGCGTGAGCTCTCCCATCTCACACACAGGGTGGTTGGGGTGACGCGGCAGAGAGTTTAAGGGGCTTTCGAAAGAGGCTCCGGATCCTTTTGACATGTGACTAATGAAAGCTTCCAGTTTCGGGTGATACGGTTTTCTAGAGAAAAAACACAGAGAATTAGCAGTCAGCCTCCCAAATAGTCAAAGCACAGTCTTTGTCACTCACAGTCACTGGTTCTGCTCAATGACTTTTAAATTCCAATTTCCTTGGGGCTCAACTATGTATAAAATACCCTCTCTGTGAGGATACCTTGCGTATCTCACCTGTGTTGCACACGGCACTGTGGGGCTCAGTTCTGCCCTCTACCAGGCTGTCCACACTCTGCCACCACCAATGCCGCCACAGGGCAGGGACTTGGCTTCTCCACCTCAGATGCACACCTGCCACCAGTCCTCCACCTCTTCTGCCTTCACGCTCACGGCCACGACCTGGCTTCTGGCCTCTGGCAGGCAGCTCTCCTAGATGGCCCCGGGCTCTCACTGGCCTTCCTACTGTTCAGGCATGGCCTGTTCACTCTGTCTTCTCCACAGCTAGAGGAGGGGCCTGCACAGGCAGCCCCGGCACAATGCTGCCCTTCCACACTGCCAGTGCTGGAAAGAGCCGGCGTGGCCTGTCCCTCTGTTCTGGCCCAACCTTGCTGACGGTCCTCCCTCAGGGGCTCTCTCTGCTCCAAAATGGTCCCGGCCACAACAAGCCAGTGCCCCCTTTCCCCCAATGCACAACACACCTTATTTTCACCTGTTTCTAACCCCCACCCCTGCCGTTTTTACAGTAGTGGGCACTGAACCCAGGACCTTCAAACTGAGGTGCATTCCCAACCCTTTATTATTTTTTTTTTTTTAAGTTGAAGAAGGGTCTTGCCTAGTTGTCCAGACCGGGCTTGAACTTGGGATCCTCCTGCCCCAGCTAATTAACTAAGACTGTAGCTCTTTACAGTTTATAGTGCACATACATTTATAGCTAAAAAACAGTTTAATTATGGGATCAGAGATTATCTATATTTCTGCTACAGGTACACATGTACATCAAGATATAATTTATCTTTCTAGCCCTTGTATATAATTTTCCTGGATAATGAAATGACCTATGTACATTCCTTCTCTTTGAATAATGAAATAGCCTGTGAACGTGTATACATTTTCCAGCATACAGAAGTGGACAGAGTAGTTCACAACTACACTGAATACAAATCAATGTATGAAAGAAAGCAAAGATAAATTGTTCTAATACAAACCCCTGCAGTCTGAAAGCCCAATTAACTTTGGCAATGCTTTAAAAATAGCTGCCAAAATGAATTTACTATCTTTCAAAAACATAAAGCTGGAAAAATCCATCTTTTAAAAAAGATGTTTTAAAATTAGACAATACTAATTCCAACGTGCAGCAAAGTCTAACAAATCACCCTGGCTGGCTGCAGGGAATTATGTCTTTCCATAAACACAGAGAGCCTTTCATTTTGCCTCAGGCTAATGCACATAAATGTTTGCAAACTAGGATATAAAATGCCCAGACTGACAACAAGGCTGCCAAAGTGAATCCACATGAGTGAAGACCATCCATCAGCAAGGCTCAAATGTCCTGTTCTAGGCCATTGTTTCAGGCTGGAGATTTCTGAGGATCTGAGAAAGCTTTGTTGATAATTTTAGAAATGGAACTTCACTACTGAATGTGTTTGCTGAGGCCTAGGTTTTCAGTTGTCTACTGAATGATGTTTTGATGTCTAACTGTATTCAGTATAGGTGTTTTGTTTTGTGACATGGAAAGCGGAAGATTCATGGAGGAATAACTTCGGCTACAGAACAGACAACAAATGGATGTACTCCTTTGCAGGAGGAGGACTAGGTAATCTGAGTCTCTGGCTCTGTCCCAGACCTGACTGCCCAAGCCCTGCCTGCCTATCCCAGGCTCTACCCCTGGAGGCTGGAGAGTACTTAGCACATGGTTAAAGCTCGGGAAATTTACATGAGTGAACTCAACTGTGCAGGATCCTTAGATGCTGTGCGAAAGCACCACACCTTTCACAGTCTGTAACGATGAATGTTATGAGTCCCACAGTATTTGTTAAAGTATGCAGACCCTGACAGAAGTATTAAAAACCAGTGCTATTGTGGGTGCACCATTAGTGGTGCACTAAAATCTTTTCTCCTCTTCTTGGCAGCGTGGTTTTCCCGTATCTGATGCCTTAGAGGTTAGGTAGAGCCACACGACTAAGTATTTGCCAGTTGAATGGAAGGGTGTGTGCCCTTTCTGGGTTTAGACTACTTCACATTCTCTTTCTTCTCTCTGGCCACTATTTTGCTATGGCAACAACCCAGGCCACCCAGTCCACATCCTGGGGGACGGTGGAAGCAACAACCCAATCCCAGTGTGACCAGGTGGAGCCGCAAAGAAATCAGCAGCTTTTTTTTTCTTTTTTGTCATATTGGTGATTGAACCCAGGGCCTGCACACTAAGTTACATTCTCAGCTCTTTATTTATTTTTAAATTTTGAGACAGTGTTTACTAAGTCACTAAGTTGCCTAGGCTGGGCTTCAACTCAGGATCCTCCTGCTTCAGCCTCCCAGAATGCTGGTAAAGCAAAACTTAGAGAAAAATAAACTTTCCCAGCCTTGAGCAATTTCCCCTCAAACCCTCTCCTTCCTTGTGGCTGCCATCTTCTGCCTGGTACAGATAAGATTAACATCCCTGTTCCTATAAACAAGATCTTGAGAATCCTGTTCTCACAGGATTCTGTTTTTGTTCAAGGCTAAGATATAAAGCTGTCGCTGTATGAATAGCTGCCTTTGTCCCACTCTGTAACCTTGTTTGCCCACCTACAAGTATTGTGCCAGCCCCCTTCAACCAACTGTATAAAAACTGGAGCATTTCCTTTGTTTAGGACTCTGCCTTTGGACGCAAGTTTGTTGGGTTGGTGTGCACCTGAAATGCTAGAATAAAATCCTCCTGTTTTACCTGTAGTTTCTCCTGTCTCAAATTCTGCAACACAGGGATTATAGGTATGTACTACCGAGAGAGGAGACCACCCCTCCATATGGAATTGGGCGACTATGGGTCAACTGTGTTATTAGGCAATTATGGGTTAACTAGATAACTATGCTCTTTGTAGAATATACCTGAGCAGCCATGACAATTTCTGTAATCTGTTGCCAAAGGAGTATAACGGACTCAGAAAATCCTGCCAGAACTCTTTGTTCTGCCCCCTCTCCACTGCTCTGTTTTGTATAAATCCTGCTTGATATATTCCCAGGGAAACTTCAATGGAACTAATCTTTGTAGGTGTAAAAAGAGTATATAAGGAAGCAAAAACTTCTATTTCAGGCTCTCAAGACTGACAGGAGTCACTCGCTGAGCCACCAGCATCATTAAAAGCTGTGTTTTGCTCCTATCTTCATGCTGAAGAGTTATCTGTGCGGGGGTCCACACTGTTTCCTGCTTTACTACCATACCCAGTTAGAAAGAAAGTTCTTTGTTATTTATTTATTTTTGGTACTAGGGATCGAACTTGGGACCTTGTGCTTGTGAGGCAGGTGGTGGAACCACTGAGCTAAATCCCCAGCCCAACTTCTTTGCTATTTAAGGCAATGTGTTCTTGAGTCACACTGTTACAACAGCTTGAACTTACTAATACAGGAATGATTTATCTGCAAGGATGGATTTTTGTTCAGGCAAAACTCACCTGTGACTTCATTAGAAAGCTACTTTCATAATGAAAACTGAAAAATCAAGTGTTACTGTTTAAAGCCTTCAACTTTGTTATTGTCTGTGTCTAGATGTCCTCCCAAAGCCTCATGCAGCCTTAAATGGGACTATTTCTGAGGTAGCTGAATCTGGAATGTGTGATTGATTCAGGGTGCAATGCTAGGCCTGAGGGCACTAGGATTAAGAGTGTGTGCTACCCACCCCAAGTAGGCTAGATAATTTAAAAGATGCTGTTAAGGTCCCTTGCTGCTTTCTTACTTTTCTTCTCCCATGGACCAGTTGCCCTCTGCCATGTGCTACCCTGCCTTGGAGCCAGCCAATAAGGGACTAAAACCTCTACAAACTGTAACTAAATAGACCTCTCCACAACAGGAAAAGTAACTAAGACAAACTCCTTCTCTTTAGTGTTCTTATTTACATTTTTACATGCATTGTTCATATCTGTTTATGCTACAAAGCTCCACACAGAAACCGGAGACCAACCTGCATCTGACCTATGTCTGACATCTGCACAGAACACTGAAGCTGCCTGAGAAAGGTGTAAGACCAGGATCATTTATCAGTAAACAGTTCAGCACAGATCGCCTGGCAGGAAGCTGAAATGAAATCACAGCAGATTTTAAAAGTTTAAGCCAATTAAAGAATCTGTTCTTTCCAATTTCAATAAAATGAAATTCTACACAGATATGACCAGTGCCATTTTCTCAGTTCTTAGCCCTCTGGACCTCTTGCTCCATGGGTTGGGCCTTCCACAGCTCTTTTAGCATCACTCTCCTGGCTGTGACTTGAGTGTCACCCCTGGGGTCCTCTTCTCCCTGTGCCTACCACAGGGTGGTGCTTTCCAGGCCTCTGCTTTGGGCTCCTGCCTCGCTGCACAGATTCTGACTGAGATTTCATTCAAGCCATGGGCTTGGTGAAGGCCTTCAAACATCCACCTCCCAGCAAGACAGTGCTTCTGAGTCCCCAAACTGCACAGCCTACTGCCAATCAGAAACTAGAATATGTGAAGATGGCTCACAAACAGCATGGCAGCCTGCAGTTTCAGCTTCCCCTCTTTCTTCTGTGCTATTTCAGGCAAGAGCAGCATAACCAGCACAAGCCCTATCAGAAACCTGTGCACTGCCCCCGCATCCTACCTAGCCTGTCCCAAAGTCTAGACATCCCACCCGGACCTTTTCCAAGGCCCAACCCCTCCATCTCTGCTGCCACTTCGAGTTCCAGCGTCCATCATTTATTCACCCCACAAACATTTATCACACCCTGCCCATGTATCAGGCACTGTCCTAGGCATTTGGGATGTAACAGCTGTGAACCAAAACAAAATACCCTGCCCTCAGGGAAGGAGCTTGTGTTCTTGCCTGGGGCAACGGACAGTACGCAATGAAAGCCACAAATGTGTGTTAGGAGGTAACAGCTGCTATGGCAAAAAGAAGACAGTAAGGAGCGTGTGCTAAAGAAGAGCGCCCTGTCATCTAACTGGCGTGTTCTATACAGGCCTTACTGAGAAGGTGATGGGGGTCGGGTTGGAGAAGTGCGGGAAGTGGCTATCCAGCGGCTTGTGAGGAGCGCCCTCTGGAGACAGAACAGCGGAGCACCCACGGGCAGCACGAGGAAGGGGAGGGAGCCGCAGGTGGGTCAGACGGGAGGCGCGGCGGAAGAACAGAGGAAGCCTGGGAGGCCGTGTTTCAGGGCGAGGGCTCCAACACGACATAAACGGCACCAGCAGCTCCCCCGCCACGCCCACACTGCGGCTCACAGAGACCCTCATGGCCTCATCTCACTGCCCAGCATCTCTGTGCCTGGAGCCCCCACTCCCTAGCAGAGCACGCGACACATCAGACGGCCTAATCTGCACTCCGCACTAACTCCGGGGCCTCAGTGTGCCCAGCTGTGCCCCACCCGGTCTGCCCAGGTCGATCTCTCCATCTGAGAGGCCATTTCCCATCATGCTACCCAACTTGCTCCTGCGCCTCCCCTCTCCCTGCCCAGGCTGGCCTGGCTTCCCTCTTCTGGCCATGCTCTAAATGTGTCAAACCACTTCCTCATGCACATCTTCTCTTCTTCCATTTCTTTCTCCAATGCAGCTGCCACTGCTATCTGCTCTGCCCTTACTCTTGCAGGGCGGCCAGCACTGGTCCTGCTGGCTTTCACACATGCCCAGCTTTTCTAGCCCCAGGCCCTTTGCACTTGCTGCTCCTTCCATCCGGACATTCATTCCCAGATCTTTACAGGGCTGGCTCCACTTCATTCACAGCCTGCTCATGTACTGCCTTCTGGCTTAAGAGCCGGACAGGACCTTGCAAACGCCAGGAACATAAAACTAAGATTTGCTGAATGCTGACTAAGGTCAATGTTTTTCTTTTTTGAATATAGAGAAGCATATTTGATTCATTATTTTATTAATATAAAAAGGCATTTACTAAACAGTTATATACATGGCTAATGATCTTAATGCTGGCTAAGCATAATATTATGAGGCCAAAACAGCATCATTCTCATAAAAGACATGGCGTTTGTAGACAGGCAGCTTCCCCTTCAAAAACCTTGAGAGGGATGAGATGGGCTGATGTGGGTAGAACTTGGTAGCAACTGGCTTGTGTGGACAACAGGCTTCTGGGGGACTGAGCTCAGTGCTCCCCACCTGCTGGCCCAGAGAGCCCCTTTTGGAGCAGAGGAATGGGTACCCTCTGGGCCTCACTGCCCATTAGGAAGTCACAGGATTACTGACTCAGGAGCAGCTGGGAAGGCAGCAGGCACGGCAGGGACTCAGAGCACACATCCTAGGGCGGCTGTCGGCCCAGAGTGGGTCCACTGCCTTGGGGTTCCTGTTCATGCTACGTTGGCTTTTACTGGGTGTAAAGGTGCAGCTGATTAAATGACACAATACGGCAGTCCCCCTTAGCTGCAGAGGTTACATTCCATGGAACCCAGAGGGTGCTGAAACTGCAGGTAGTATCAAACTGTGCATGCCGTATTCTCTATCCATGCACGTGTATCATACAGCTTAATTTAGAAGTTAGGCATCTATGCTATGGTTCAGTTTATAAGAAATCAACAGTAAAACCAATAATAGAATGGAATAGTTATAACAACGTATGGTAATACAAGTTAGGTGAATATAGTCTTTCTTCATTTCCTGAATTTTCCATTTAATATTTCTGGACTGCTATTGACCGCAGGTAACCTAAAATGTGGAGAGCAAGATGTAAGATCAGGGGGACTATAGTAACTGAACATGCACACTCTGCCCTCTTCCACAGACCATTTAAAGTAGCTCCTATAGATACAGGAGGTAACACAGTGAAAACTAGGCAAAGGAAAATGAGGATAGAGACAACCAGAGCGACTGGCCTCCTCTTAAGTTAGCTCTGCATACTGCCTGAGGTGGCCACATCAGGGGCTTACAGTTCTGGCCTGGTGACCATGTCCATTGCAGAGAGGGAAAGAGGCCAGGGTCTGAAGTCCTCCAGACTTCTACGGGCTACACTTATAAGGTCCTTGGTGTGGAGAAACCTGAAGGCTTTAGCCCATCATCTTATGTAGACCTCTCAAGGGTGACATGAGGCAGGTATCATTATCTGTGTTCCACAATGGAGTAAGAGGCCCAGAGAGGGCAATGACTTGCCCAGTGTTAAACAGGCTGCAGAGCTTTCAGGGAATTCCATGGCCATGGCTTAAATCCATCAAGAGGGACACTGCAGGAATGCATAGCAGGTACTCATGCCCTACGATCCTCACAGAGACCCTGTGTTCGTTCCACAATGTTCTCGCTGCTGAGACAAAATACCCAACACCCAAAGTTAGAGGAGGAAAGGCTTATTTGGCTCACAGTTGGTAGAGGTTTCAGTCCGTACTTAGCTAGTTCCAAAGCTGAGCGGCACGGCAGAAGGGCATCACAGAGGAGAAACAGCTCATGGCAAGGTGGAAGGCAGTGAGCAACAGCAGCAGCAGCCACCTGCCTTCCCTCTCTCCTCTCCTATTCTATCCAGGCTGCCACCCAGGACAGGGCTTCCAGTATCACACACTGGTAATCCCAACATTCCACCCTTAATCCATATTCACACACTCTAGATCCAGCCACCTCTGGAGGGCCCCACTTCTGACAGCATGAGGCTTTGGGGGTCATCTAGATATAAGCCATGACAAATGCCCAACAACTCTTCTGTGTCAGGCTCCAGAGTGGACCTGGTGAAACAGGGAGCAGGTCCTGGAGGAGGCCACAGTCTGGGGAGGGTGGAGCCAAGTGCAATTGCCCAGGGGAAACCCTGCTCTCTGCTGGGGGCCTCTGGCCAGTGAGCCCCTCTCCGGGAACAGACAGAGGGGCCTCCAAGACCTTGTCGCAACAGCTGGTTAGTCTTGGGCAGACACCCCTCTGAGCCAAGCCATTCCAATTCTCCTTTCTGGGAGGGTGCAGCCCGACTGCTGCTGAGGTGGGCCTGGGTCCTCCCGGCTCAGAGACCTAGTGGTCTCCTCGCCTCAGTTGTTTAAACAACCAGTTTCAGCCAGAGAGCAGCAGCGGGGCTGTGCCCGTTGTTTGCGCGTCATGCACGCACAGGGCCCACACTAATCTTTGTATCATTCCAACTTTAGGATATGCGTGGCTGAAGCAAACACTGTGCCAGTTGCTGACACACTGAAATCCTGCACTGCTGGAGAAGCCACTTTCCCCACCCCACATGCTGGCGTACATCCCCCAGGCTCCAGGAACTGAAGGGTTAATGCCCAGCACAAGTGACCTCCACCCTTGCACTAAGGCCGCTGGAGAGGTGGCTCTGACAGTCTTACTCGGACTTTGCATGCTCTGACACTCTTGCCGTGTGGCTCCCTGCTCAGTGTGAGGCAGGCTCAGTCTAGGGGAGGCTGCCCAGAGGAGGGGGAATCTCATAGGGCCTCGAAGGAATGTAGGAGTTGGCCAGGCAGGGATGGAGCACAGAGAGGTACAGCAGGCACAAAGGCACAGAGCAAAGGGACTCAGCAGAAGTGGAGGACTGAGGGCGGAGGATCTCAGCGGAAAGAGGAACTAAAGGTGGGGTGGGGGCTCAGCCTAGGGGAAAGCTGTGGTCTGCATGGTCCTCTGAGTGGGTTGGACCTCACCCTGCCTGTTTTCTGACCCAGAGGCACAGGGTGCGCATCTCTGTTTGCTGAATGTAGGAGACAAGACACGAGTACCCAGGTGGCCAGCACTGTGACCCCCAGCACGAGGGAAAGTGGGGAAGAGCCTCGTGGTGTCTTCACATAAAGGCGTTTGTTTAATCTTCCCTACAAACAGCCAGCAGAGAATTAACCCGAGCCCCTGGATTATGCCACTTTTCAAAGGAGCCGGGATGTGGCAAGGCGATGCACAGCTGCACCAGGCTGGCCATGCCAGGCAGGCTGGGCTCCACGAGCATCCCGTGAAGAGAGCGTCTCCCCGCTGAGCACCGCCTTCCACCTCCGACTGCCTGCAGTAAACTCTGCTGGGGACGCTATGCGGCCCCCGACACATCCGCTTAGGCCAGGCCCATCTATTTATTGCTAACCGTGTTTCTCATTTTAGGGTGTGCCATTTCCATATGTGTAATTTCCATTCTCTGCTCAATTATTTTTCATCCTAAGGGCTTTCAACAGAGATCAAACTGTCTTTGTTGCTGTAAAAAATTACACGGCTGGAATACTGTCTCACAGGCATACATCTTTACAGTCGCCAGCACACCTGTCCCTGTGTCACGTCCCTTCCTCCTCATCCCAATCCAGCAGCAGCAGCAGCCCCATTTCGGAGAAGCGAGGCTGAGCCCAGAGACCGAGGGACTTGCCTGCTGCCCCAGTGGAACAGCTGGGCTGCTTCGGAGGCCTCCTAACCCAGTGCTCACTTCACTGCGTCCCAGTTTTCTCAAAGTGAAGAACAGCAAGATGAGAGAGCGGGCCTCCGACTGGCCTGAACTCAATCCTCAGTTTATCTGCGGGGTTGCCTGAAACAGCTGTCCCTGCCTCTCTGGGCCTCAGTCTTCTCGGCTGTAGAGTGGCAGCCAGTGCGGCACTGTGGCTGCTCTGAAGGTCGGGCTCCTCCACACAGGATGCACCGACCGAGTGCAGGTCCCTCCTCCACTCTATCATTCTCCAGCACTGGAGGACGGCAGCTGCTTGAAAATGACCTCTAGAAAAAGTGCAGTTTACCTGTTAGCCACCAGAGTGCAGTCAATTTCTGGCCGCTTTGTTTTGGGAATGGCATACAGCGGGTACCTGTCCCCATGGCGAATCAACACATGCACGGAGATCAGCTTAAAATGATGTGGGGCGTGACCTGGAGGGAAGAAGCACACGGTCTGGTCATCATTTAATAAGTATTAACCCTTTTACGGAGGGCTGGTTGAAGACCTGGCTGTACCCTGCTGGGAATGAAGAGGAAGCGGCAGCAGGGAGACAGCTGCGGCCTGGGGCCCAGGCCATGGGCAGGACTGCTGTGCTGGGGGTGAGGGCTGTTAAAGAGGCTGAGAGGTGGGACAGAAGACTGTCCCGCCCACGTCCCAGGCCTCCTGGGTGGGGCAGAAAGGCACTAGGGTGGTGTGGCTGGGGCTGAGGCCGGGAGATATGGGCAGACTATTCATGAGGCCTCACTCACATGCAGACCAGGGGAGGCTACCAGTACTGGAAATAGTCCCCAGCTTTAAATCAGTCGCGAAACACAGCAGGGCACAAAGAAATATTCCACACCATCCCTGATACACGTTCATGAAAGCCAAGATCCTAGAGAAATTGCATTTTCCCACACCGTCAAGGCAGCACGCCAGCAGACCCCGGGTGCACACCCGCGGTCTACCCTGGGTCGGCTGTGGAAGGCAGGGTAGCTTGGGGTGAGGCCCTAGAGCCTAGTCGAGGTCATCTCTCATCTCACGGAGGACACCTGGAGATCATGACAGTGGTAAGCACTTAGGGGCCACTCACGACCTGGGTGCCGTTTAAAGCCATTACTCTGTCTCACACACAGGCACGGCTGGTCACCCCACTTGCACAGAGGGGCAAGGAACTCAGGAAGTCATCCCAGGGCACAGCCTGGTGGCAACTGCAGGTCTCACTCCCAACCACTGAGCTCTGCTGCTTGGAGGACTGATAGCTGTGTGGGGTGGAATAGCCCGGCCTACCTTCCATGTTGCGCTCGGCCACACTCGGGATGTTGCAGTACAGAAGAGCTTCATAAATGGGGTCTGTCACAGGGGGCTCTGTTGCTGGGTCAGGCAAGATCCTCTTTCGACTCTTGCTGCTTGCTCCATTTTTAGTGGCCGGCACAGGGATCAGGTGGACTGCAAGGACAGCAGAGCAGGTCACGACAGTACGGTCACTGAGGCGCCAGGCCAGCTATGGTGGCCCGAGGTGGGGCTGAACATCACTGTGATTGCTCTCTCTGAAGAATTAGGGTGGGTCTCAGGGTAGCAAGACATCAGCTTCCTCCTGTGTTCCTTGGCCCACTGAGTCTACCTCTGTCTCAGCAGTGCCTCCTGCTCCTCACCAGTTAGCAGGTTTGTGACTAGGCGAGTTCTACCACTGAGTCCCAGCCCTTTTTATTTTTTATTTTGAGACCAGGTCTTGCTAAATTGCCCAGACTGGCTTTGGAGTTATGATCTCTTGCCTCGGCCTTCTGAGTAGACGGGGTCACAGGTGTGCACCCCCATATCCCACCCAGACTGGCTTTGGAGTTATGATCTCTTGCCTCGGCCTTCTGAGTAGACGGGGTCACAGGTGTGCACCACCATACCTGGCTGTATACTAATTTCTTAGGGCCTGATGGCCTCGTCCTGACACCCTTTCTAGTTCTAGTAACAGTCACAAGGAGGACAATCCTGTTCACAGAGTGCCTGCTAAGGGCTACAGGTGAGTGTCTGACACACCTCAGTTCATATCCTCTATTTGGGCTCTGTGGCCCACTGGCCCAATCGCAGCATCTGCTCATTAACCCTCACTGTGCAGAAGGGAGCCCAGAACTCAGCACATGGACACGGTGCTCAGAGCCTTGACCCGCACTCATGCCACTGCCTCCAGCCGGCCCTCCCCACCCCACTACTGGTGTCAAGTGTGGGTCTTGCAATCTGTTATGTTTGACTCTCCAGCAGCCCTGCCTCTGTGGGGATCTGGCCGACTGTCGATCACCACGTCCCTATCCCCCGGTAAGGTGGGCATGAGACCAGAGGCGCACAGGACATGATGGGCAGCTGCACTTCCCTTGCTTGCAGGAAGCGATGCATAGCACTAAAGAGGCTCTTTCTGCTTTTGGATGCTGGTCAACAAGAATGGCAGCTGGGGCTTTCCCCGGCCACTGGCCCTCCCCAGGCAGCCTTGTCTCAGGGGCCCATTCTTCCCATCTTGGAGAACATCTTTGTAGTATCTCAGATTTTCTAGAATTCTGTACAGTAACAGCTGTACTCTCAGCAACTACCCACTGAGGGAAATGTACATAAAGAAGTATGACCATGATCCATTTAAGTTTTAAAAGGTCTATTAATCACCACCATATATATAATATACATATATTCATATTCCGAATAGCAGATAAAACAGTTACTGTCTAAATCTGTTTAAATTCCCTAATTCTTCTACATAAATATTTAACGCTTCCCTTTGGTAAACAGTTGCCATAAACAAAGATAAAGGACAAACTATATATTGAGAAAAATATCTGCAACATATAGAGCAGACAAGTGATTAATATCCAAATTCCATAAGACCCCCACAATTGAAAAATCATTAAAAGATATGAAAAGGCTAATTACCAAAAAATGAATACCAATGGCCAATAAACACGAAAAGATGCTCAAATCTATTCACAGTTAAAGAAATACAAAGTGAGACAACCAACAAGATATAATTGTTTTCCCCCATCAGACTGGAAAATTGTGCTTTGATGATAATATCCAATATTGGCAAGAGTGTGAGAAACGGGATACTTCCACACCCTGGAGGCAGGGTGCAAACTGGAACAAACTTCTGGAAGGGTTTGGCCGGCATTTTATATGTATGTGGTCCCTGATCCCACTAATCTATGCCTGGGGATCTATTCTAAAATGATATCAATTTCCATCTTCCAAGATGTAGGGCCAAAGAGACTGACTGCGGTGTCATGCATAATAACAAATAAAGGAAATAACCTACATATCCATATTAGCAGAAAAGAACATTATATCCAAACTGTGTAACCCTCCACCCCAGTAAAAGGAATGGAAAAGAATCAAAGATAAACTGAGAGACGTGAATGAACTAAGTCACTGCATACTAAAAGAATTCTTTTTGTGTAAAGAAAAAAGATTATAAATATTCAAGCATTTATGTAAATGTACAGAAAAATGTCATGATATGGGTGGTTTCCTCTGAGGAATGGAAGGAATGGGGTGTGAAAAGGTACTTTAATTTGTTGTTGTATAACGTCTATTTTTTTATATACCCACCACATGCGCGCGTGTGTGTATATGTGTGTATATATATATACATACATACATCATACATATATAAATAAAATAGTAGGCACAGGTTACATATACTATACATATATTTTTACAATGTCTAGATACATACACTTACACACATTGTTATTAAAACAACAACCAGAAAACCACAGAACTGGTCCTTCATCAGCTCAAAACTAGCCCTTTGGCTATGCTAGAGCTACTTTCTTCCCATAGGCAGAAGATGCTAGAAAGGCTAACACTCAGCTCAGGGGCCTAGAGCCAGTTTACTGTTGGGAGTTTAGTGCCAGAGACTATGGGGCAGCAGATGTCTCGTGGTGGTGTCTGAACCGTTGGTGCTGTAGCTGGGTGGTACCCTCAGTCCTGGACTCTCAGGAATCGACATCCGGGCCGCTGGCCATGTGCATGGTGCACCCTCTCTGTTCACCAGCCTGGGAGCCTGGGAGAGGTACAGCTGAGGAGATCTCATCAGACAAGTGGCAGAGGGACGGCAGGAAGCAACCTGGGTTCCTGGATGTCCCCTGCTCATCTGGAAGCACGTAGGGTGAGGGGAACCATAGTGGCTGGGTCCAAATAACCTATGCATGACTCAAGGAAGTGCCACAGATATAGATCTGGCAATCACCAGAAGGAGGCCTTCCGTCCAGAGAGATTTTATCTGCTGTGTTCTCTGGGACATGAGTTCAGCTTGTACAGATCACCCTGTGCTATGTGTGCCTTTCAGTCACCAGGACACATTATCAGTCTACAGGGGCCTCTGTTTGGGGCCCTCCAGCTACTGGCATTCATAGGTGGCTCTGAGGCCCAGACACCGTGGGAATGATAGTTTCCTCCGGTTCCATCTGGACTCTGCTCCCAAACTTGGTTTTGAGCTACTCAGAGCCACCTCTGCTGCATGTTTCTCATCCATGATCCGTATTTGCTTGCAACTCTATCCCCACCCTACCAGGCTCCCTGAATCTGACCAACTCTACAGCCTGTGCCTGGAGCCCCTTCCTCCAGGAAGCCCACCTTGAATTTCCAGGTGGATTTCACATTCCTCTTCTATAAGCCCATCCAGTTCTGGCTGTTGTTAGGCTCGTACAATAGTATATATAAATTGGGGTACCCAGTTTGTCACCCCAGCATCCCAAACATCCAGAAGGCCAAGACCAAGCCTCTTGCATGTTTATGTTTCCTACTCCCTGGCAGGGGACAGGCCTTCCAAAATGCTCACTGCACTGAAGGTCTGCTCTGATCCAGGAACTGTGTTCCATGCTTTTTTTTGTACTGAGGAATGAACACAGGGCCTTCACACTGAGCTATATCCCCAGCCCTTTTCATATTTTTTATTTTGAGACAGCATCTTGTTAAATTGCCCAGGTATTACAGGTGTGTGCCACACTCCTGGCTTGCTCTGTGCTTTTCATGAAAGATCTCATTGATTCCTCATATGGGAGCATGAGGCAAAGTGGTTACTTAAGCATCCTGGAGGTGGAGTTGGTCAGAGACAGGCTTCCTGGAGAAGACAGCCAAGCTGAGCCCGAAAGGCTTCAGGCAGCTGGCTGCACAAAAGAGAAGATGGTAGGTTGTGCAGCCCAGGCCAACACAGTGGACAGCAAGCTGTCTCCCGATAAGCTGGAGACAGCAAGCTAGCTCCCGATAAGCCTCTTGTCCCCAGAACACCTGGGCCAGTTGGCTCACGCAGGGCTGACACACAGGCAGGAGCCTGGAGGAGCAGGTCCCAGTGGGCTGGCACTGCCTCCACCCTGGAGCTGTGCCCCTTGCCACATAAGCTCCCTTGCTTACGTGGGCTGGACTTGCTTCGGTGGACAAAGGGAGTTGAGAGACAGGTGTGGAAGCTGGGTGGGAAGACGAGACAATTGGGTCTAAGGACTTTGGGACACTGCTTGTCCCAGTAGACCTTGTCCAGGTCCCCAGCTCTTCCAGTTGCCTCATGGGACAATTAGAAGCTCTGCTGAGCCCAAGCAGATGAGAACAGCTCAGATGTTATCAGGCAAGAGAAATGGACTGAGGCATTAGGTGTGAGGATGGGAAAATCAATAGAGAGATCAAAAGTTTCATTACATAGGTAGAAAAAAGCCTTGTATCTAAATTAGTGCCCCAGGGCCACAGTGCCACCAAAACCAATTTAAATAACAACAGAGACATCTTTTACTGATAATTAGTACTGTACCAGATGCATGCCCTTTCTCTACCGTGTGATTATAAGTAGAAGGGAAGATTTCCAACAGCTACCCCATCTTCTCTATGATCTCTTTCATCCTGTCCACAGATCTATAATGCTCTTGTGTAAAGATACCCACAGGGTCGCAATTTCAAAGAAACAGTAGAGAACATTACCTCAAAGGCATCTCCTTGGGCAGAAGCAACTAATAATCTCTCCATCTAACTCACCAAATGAAGAGGGTGTTTCCATGGCATTAGTAGCAGACATCCCCAAAGCTGTGACTCAGATCCAAGCCAAGCTGACCCACTCTGCTTTTTCTAAAACTGGCCCTCATCCTAGGAAGAGTACCCATAAACTAGGCACAGACTTTAGGGAGCAGATCAAGGGACTTGACTCAAGTTCTTCAACCTGCCAGGCCAGTCTTATTAACTCCTCGGGCCTGGCGTCTATGTATCTATCCATGTAGCCACCTGCCATTCATTATTAAGAAACAAGGAGTGGAAAGGATTTCTACCAAAAGGAGAAAATGGCCTTGTCAGTCATGGTGCCCCCTGCATTCCTCGGCCATGTATTTCAGGAATGGCTCAGATATACTGGTAATGTTGAGAGACGTCAACGATAATCTCAGGCAAATATGACCCACTCAACAAGTCTTGGCCCAGTAGCTAGAACTATG